ACAGTCAGACGAGCCGATTGTCATCTCGTCCGGCACACCAACACAGCACGACAGCGTGGGACAGTGCTCAGGCGCAGCCAGTGACAGCGCCGCCCAGCCAATGCCTGGTATGGGAGGAAACCGGGCCGCACCAAGCCCACGGGAGCCTCGTGAAGCCCGTCGGCACGTGGAGTTTGCGGCAACAAGTGGCGACCAGGCAATCATGGCGCCGATGCCACTCAAGCCGTAGCGCCCGCCCTGTTTCGACCCGAGCCAGCGTGGTGGTCCGACAGTTCAGTCGTGGATCTTCACGATGAACGTGTTTTTTGACGCGAACTACGTCGAGTCGGACGCAGCGAAGATACGATACGCCGTCTCGCTGTTGAGGGGCCCCGCTATGGACTGGTGGCGAGTCATCGTGACGTCGCCACGCACCTACGAGCCACCGTCGCAAGAGGAAGGGCCCGCGGGCCCAGCAGTCAACTGGATTTCATTCTGCGAAACCGCCCAATACAGCACGTGGGATGCGTGGTGCGTAGGGCTTCGGGCGCGCTTCGAGCCGATCGCGGCTTCTATTTCGGCGCGTCAGAAACTGCGCACTTGGCGGCAGCTCGGGTCGGTTCAAGACTACACGAGCGGTTTTCTCGCATTATGCGAGCAGGTCGGCTACATGCACGAAGCGGAGCGGGTGGACCGTTACGTCGGAGGGCTAAAGCCGGAAATCTCGCAGGAAATAATGCTACGCGGACTCTCGAATTTCAACGAGATTCTCGCGATCGCCGAGAAAATCGACATTTTGCGCCGTCCGAGACCGGGGTCCTACTACGGACATCGTCCTCGAGGACCGATCGAGCACGCCACCGTACACGCCGTTGCGACGAATGCAGCTGCCGCACCATTCAAGGGGCGCTGCTTTGCTTGCAACAGGCCGGGCCATCGTAAAAGTGAGTGTCCAGAGGAGCTAAGGCGCCGCGGAGCAGAGCAAGGGAGGGAGTCTCAGAGGCAGGGAAACGCCAGCAGTCAGTAGAAATTGGGCCGACTACTGACGAGACTGCCTGCTCGCCCAACCACACCGACCCTCACCGAGTCACAGTACCGATCCACGCTATCGATCAGGCTCGGATGAATAAGGAGGGTACAGCAACGGATTGCCCAGTACTGATCCACGGGAAAATACAGGGAGCAGCAGTCAAGATTTTTATCGACGGAGGAGCTAGTCACAGTTTAGTTAATACCGCGACCGCACGGAAACTTCAACTGACACTTAGCCGGTGCTTACCTGAGATTGATGCACGCTTAGTCGACGGCACGCCGCTGGCCATACGGGAGAAGGTGGAGAGAGTAAAAGTTCGCTGCGGAGGGAACTTCGGGTTTACACAAGAAATGCTCGCGACGACACTGGATGGGCACGACATTTTACTAGGGCATGATTGGTTGCGACGTTACAACCCGAGAATCGACTGGACGACAGGCAGCTGCACTGTGCGAAGTAGTGGTAACTGGGTCGAACTACCACGCTGGCAGTCGCCTGAGTCGTCGACGGTCCACGTCAACGCCATAACAATGAAACGGGCAGTCGCCGCTGGAGCTGACGTGTATACAGTGGACATCGCAGTGGTAGGAGAAGCTGAGCAGCCGAGTGATTTTCAGAAACTGCTGACAGCGGTACCGCCTGAACTACAGGAGCTATTGAAACGGTACCCGGGGATTTTCCCCGACGACTTACCGGAAGGACTGCCACCTCAGCGGGCGCACGACCATAGGATAGAGTTAGAGCCGGGGGCACAGCCAACTGTACAGCGCCAGTTCAGACTGACACAGCCGGAGCTCGACAAACTGAGGAAGCAGTTAGATTACCTGTTAGCGAAGCAGTTTATCCGACCGAGATCGTCCCCGTTCGCCGCACCGATACTATTCACACCAAAAAAAGATGGAGGGTTTCGCATGTGCATCGATTACCGAGCGCTCAACAGGGTTACAGTGAAGTCACGATACCCCATTCCCTGCGCCGACGAACTGATCGACCAGCTGCGAACAGCACGGGTGTTCTCGAAGATAGATTTACGGGGAGGTTACCACCAGATTAGAGTCGAACCATCGGACTGCGCCAAGACAGCTTTTAGGACTAGGTACGGGTCGTTCGAGTATACCGTGATGCCTTTCGGGCTGACCAACGCACCTGCAACATTCCAGATGACCATGAACGAGGCGTTTAGACCACTTTTAGATAAGTGTGTGATAGTCTACCTCGACGACATTCTCGTCTACAGCCGCGATAAGCAGCAGCATTTAGCGGACCTGGAAGCAGTGTTTCAAATTTTAGAGGAGCATCGGTTATTGACCAAGGGGTCTAAGTGCGAGTTCTTTCAGGATAGGTTAGAATTTTTGGGGCACGTTATTTCGGAGGCTGGGGTTGAGATTGACCCGAAGAAGCTGGATACGGTCAAAGCTTGGCACCCCCCGACAAACATCACGGAGCTGCAGAGTTTTTTGGGTTTTGTTAATTACGTCCGTCGGTTCGTCCCAAACATGGCACGCTTAACTGCCCCACTGACGGATCTGCTGCGGAAAGGGGTCGTTTTTACGTGGGGGGAGAAAGAGCATGCTGCCTTCTCTACCCTGAAAAATGTTCTCTGTTCACCGCCTGTCCTGCGCATTGCCGACCCACACCGCCCATTCGAAGTCATTACTGACGCAAGCGACATCGCCATCGGAGCCGTACTGCTACAGGATTTCGGGAACGGCCTACAGCCCATCGCATACGAATCACGAAAGCTGCACCCACCTGAGAAGAATTACCCGATACACGATCGCGAAATGCTTGCGATCGTGCATGCGTTCAAAGTGTGGCGCTGTTACTTGACCGGCGCAGACGTGACAGTACGGACAGACCACCGATCACTACAGTATCTCCGCGCACAACCCCACCTCAACCCACGACAGATCCGCTGGCTCGACTTTCTAGAGTCCAATTTCCATTACACGGTCACCTACAAAAAGGGAGCTTCCAACATTGCCGACGCACTAACCCGCCCCACTGCCCAAATCCACGCAATACTACTCGCCCAGACTAGCCCACTACCGACAGGACTATTTACCCACGGATATCAAACAGACCCATTCTTCACCGGAGGCAATTCGCAGCAGTTCGCAGCAGCACGAGGGGTCTATTACGTAAAAGCCGGGACCGACCGCATTTGGGTACCCGGGTATACACTACTACGGGAATTACTGTTACAGGAGGCACACGACGTAGTTACCTCGGGACATTTTGGGGTAGAAAAAACACGGCAGCAGCTGCAGCGGTATTATTACTGGCCAGAAATGTTGACCGACATCCAACGACACGTGGCGTCGTGTCCCACCTGCCAGGTCATGAAATCATCACGGAAGCGGCCGGCAGGACAGTTGCAGCCGATTCCACCCCCAGAGCGTGCTTGGCAGCATGTGACGATGGATTTCGTGACGGGGTTACCGGCCGGGGCGAGTGGGAACGACGCGATCCTGGTCGTCGTCGATCGACTGACGAAAATGGCACATTTCGCAGCTTGCAAGAAATCAATCACAGCCGAAGAAACAGCCCGCCTCTTCATCACCACCGTTGTTCGCCTCCACGGGATACCATCGGCAATTATCAGCGACCGCGACACGAAATTCACCAGCAACTTCTGGCGGAACCTGTGGCAGCAGTTTGGCACGCGACTACAGTTCAGTTCTTCGTACCATCCCGAAACGGACGGACAGACAGAACGGACAAACCAGACCATGGAGCAGCTCATCCGGGCCACGTGCGACGACCCGAACACGTGGGAACAGCAACTGCCACTCATTGAATTCGCGTACAACAATTCGCCCTCCGCCACGACCCAACAGTCACCGTTTTACCTGAACTACGGACAGGACCCAACAGTACCCATGACCCCAAATCCCGACAATCCAGTCCCACGCGCACAACAGTTCGCCGAGATTTTGCAAGCAGCACGGACCAGGGCAACAGACGCAATTAAAAAAGCCAACATCATCGCTAAGCGCAACGCCGATCGCCACCGCCGACCTGTCACTTACCAGCAAGACGACCTAGTACTACTCGATACTCAGAACCTCCGCTTGCCCATCACTCCAAAACTTCGCCCCCGATATTGTGGGCCATTTTGCATCAGCCACATGATCACACCCGTCACCGCCCACCTCCTCCTCCCTGCTGACTGGTACGTCAGCCCGTCGTTCCACGTCAGCCTACTTCGCCCTTACATCCCATCCACGAGCCAACTGCCACGAAATCGCCCAGCCAGCATGACACGCCCCCCAACCGAACCAATCATCACCCCTGAAAAAATCCTCAGCCACCAAGTCCGCGACCCTCGGGGAGCCCGAAGGATCGAGTTCCTAATTCGCTGGAAGGACCGAACGCCCACAGAAGACAACTGGGTCCCCCTGGATAAAATCGAGAACCACCCTGTCTTCACCGAGTACCTGCGAAGCCGAAATTTCCGCGACGTCCATGCGCTCTCGTAAGAGGGGCCTCCTTGGGGAGGGGGGTAGTGTAAGGAAAATTCCCTTTCCTTACTTCGCATCCCCGCTCAACGCGTACATCACTGTAGCACCTCAGTCAGCACCGTTACCACTCGCATCAATAATCCGCCCGCCATTTTTCGCATGTCGCACCCCGACCTCACGGCTCGGCGGTAACCCGCGCTCCGGACCTCCGCCTCGACACTTTTCCCAACCTCAGTCCCAGGCCCGTCGCGCGACAACCACAGTCCATTAACCGTTACCACTGTAGTTTCGCTATATAATCCTTCGCTCATGCCTTCGCTCATTTGTACTCTTGCTTCGATAGTGCAATCTTTCGTTCGCTCACTCCATTGCACCCGTAACACCTTGATATGTCTCCCCTGCTTACGTAGAACCTCCATACTTTCGAATGCTTGTTAAAGCCCAAGACCTGAATTACAAAAAAAAAAAAAGGCAAACTGTGCACACTTTGCCTCCCGAACCCAAAGTTGACCTCCCGATCCAGGATGGTAACCAGAAAACGTCGCATCCCAAGAAGACTGAGTCGTAGAGCAGAACGCGTCCGCTTGGCGAGAGTTCCAACCACCCTTTCCTGAAGGAGGAAGGGAACTGCCTGTGCACAGTTTGCCGAACAATGGTAATTCAGGAATGCTTGTGCGGCTATTACGCGAAACGCAAAGCTCTATCAGCGGCATAGGCAGGACCTTCAACCCCGTTGCAACACTTGCTTTGCCCTCATCCCAAGATTGACATGCGCGAAGCGTGTCCTTTTTCCACGTCGAAATTAGTGCCGTGAAAGGTAATTTAGCTATCCCCTCACATCGTCCACCCCCTTGACGCACCGTCGCCCTCGCATCCCCCGTTTCCCCGTCGCCCTTGCCCTCCCAACGCCCTTACCCCGGTCCCCTCTCGTCGATTTCTTGTCAACGTCGTGGGGCCACATTCCGACGCTTCGTACACCACTCCGCGCTCCTCTCGCCTCACGGCGCGCGCTCCTCTCGCCTCCCCGCGCGCGCTCTTCTCGCCTCCCCGCGCGCGCTCTTCTCGCCTCCCCGCGCGCGCGGCTTTCGCCTCCCCGCGCGCGCTTCTCTCGCCTCCCCGCGCGCGCTCCTCACGCCTCCCCGCGCGCGCTTCTCTCGCCTCCCCGCACGCGCTCCTCTCGCCTCCCCGCGCGCGCTCTTTTCGCCTCCAGCGCCGCATCTTCCCGCCTCCCCGCGCGCGCTTCTGTTGCCTCCCCGCGCGGCCTCCTCTCACCATCGCCAGCGTGCTCTGCTCGCCATGGCCTCGCGTGCTCCTCTCGCCTTGATAGCGCGCGATTCTGTCGCCTCCCCGCGTGGCCTCCTCTCACCATCCCGCGCGTGCTCCTCTCGCCTCCCCTCGCATGAGAGGCGAGCCTTTATAGCGCGCGCTTCACTTGCCTCCCCGCGCGGCCTCCTCTCACCTCCCCGCGCATCCTCCTCTCGCCGCCTCACGCGTGCTTCTCTCGCCTCCCCGCGCGAACTCCTCTCGCCTCCCCTCGTGTGCACCTCTCACCCCCCCTCTACCGCCCCTCTTGCCTCCCCGTGCAGCCTCCTCTCACCTCCCTGCGCGTGCTCCACTCGCCTCCCCTCGCGTGGTCCTCTCACCTCACCTTGTGTGCTCCTCTCGCCCCCCCACGCGTGCTCCTCTCTCCTCATCTTGCGTGCTCCTCTCGCCTCCCCACGCGTGCCCCTCTAAGATGCGTGAGGGGCTTCACCTCCCGTCTCCTCACTGCCTCTCTGCGTCTCGCGACAGCCTCTGTTCGCATCGCTGATCGCAAATATTGCCCTTGGCCCCTGCTCACACTCTTGCAACGGCTGTGCTTCCGCATCCCCTCTGCACGCCCTCTTTCCCCCTCTTCCACGCCCTCATTTCCCACCCTGCTTGCCCACGTTTCCCCACCTTGCAGTCCCTCACAAGCCCTCGGTGCAGGCCCTCTCGCCTCCCGTGCTCCACTCTAGAATGTGGGACGCTCCTCTCTCCTCACCTCCCGTGCTCCCCTCTGACAGATGGGGTGCTCCTCTCTCCTCACCTCCCGTGGTCCACTCTGACATGGCATGGTGCTCCTCTCCTCTCGCCTCCCGTGCTCCACTCTGAAATGTGGGACGCTCCTCTCTCCTCACCTCCCGTGCTCCCCTCTGACAGGTGGGGTGCTCCTCTCTCCTCACCTCCCGTGGTCCACTCTGACAGGGCATGGTGCTCCTCTCCTCTCGCCTCCCGTGCTCCACTCTGGAATGTGGGACGCTCCTCTCTCCTCACCTCCCGTGCTCCCCTCTGACAGGGGGGTGCTCCTCTCTCCTCACCTCCCGTGCTCCCCTCTGACAGGTGGGGTGCTCCTCTCTCCTCACCTCCCGTGGTCCACTCTGACAAGGCATGGTGCTCCTCTCCTCTCGCCTGCAGTGCTCCACTCTGGAACGTGGGACGCTCCTCTCTCCTCACCTCCCGTGCTCCACTCTGGAATGTGGGAAGCTCCTCTCTCCTCACCTCCCGTGCTCCCCTCTGACAGGTGGGGTGCTCCTCTCTCCTCACCTCCCGTGCTCCCCTCTGACAGGTGGGGTGCTCCTCTCTCCTCACCTCCCGTGGTCCACTCTGACAGGGCATGGTGCTCCTCTCCTCTCGCCTCCCGTGCTCCACTCTGGAATGTGGGACGCTCCTCTCTCCTCACCTCCCGTGCTCCCCTCTGACAGGGGGGTGCTCCTCTCTCCTCACCTCCCGTGCTCCCCTCTGACAGGTGGGGTGCTCCTCTCTCCTCACCTCCCGTGGTCCACTCTGACAGGGCATGGTGCTCCTCTCCTCTCGCCTCCCGTGCTCCACTCTGGAATGTGGGACGCTCCTCTCTCCTCACCTCCCGTGCTCCCCTCTGACAGGGGGGTGCTCCTCTCTCCTTACCTCCCGTGCTCCCCTCTGACAGGTGGGGTGCTCCTCTCTCCTCACCTCCCGTGGTCCACTCTGACAGGGCATGGTGCTCCTCTCCTCTCGCCTCCCGTGCTCCACTCTGGAATGTGGGACGCTCCTCTCTCCTCACCTCCCGTGCTCCCCTCTGACAGGGGGGTGCTCCTCTCTCCTCACCTCCCGTGCTCCACTCTGGAATGTGGGACGCTCCTCTCTCCTCACCTCCCGTGCTCCCCTCTGACAGGTGGGGTGCTCCTCTCTCCTCACCTCCCGTGCTCCCCTCTGACAGGTGGGGTGGTCCTCTCTCCTCGCCTCCCGTGCCCCACTCTGACAGGGCAGGATGCTTCCGGACCTGTTGTTTAGTGCCTGATCTGCCCACCCTCCCCTACACAGCCAACTCAATTCAATGACCTGCGTAATCGGATAGTTCCCCCCCCCCCCCCCCCCCCCCCCCCCCCCTCCCCCTCCCCCCTCCCAACCTATTCACTCCCTAACCCCTCCCTCTCCCTTGTTGTTTTCTGCCTGATGTTCCCTTTTCTCACCCTCTAAACCAGTCCACCTCATCAGCCATGTCTTCGTGGAGACGTACTCCTCGGAGACGGCTGACGCTTGGATTCAGGGTTGGGGAGGAGGGTTCCGAGGATGATGAGGAGGAGAGGGGTCGGCGACGTGGACCGGAGTCGATGTTCACGGCAAGTACGGGCAAGTACGGATGAGGGGAAGGGAGGATGAGATGAAGGGCGGATGAGGGGGAGGACGGATGAGGGGGAGGGAGGACGAGAAGAAGGGTGGACGAGGGAAAGGAGGAAGAGAGGGAGAGACGATGAGATGGAGAGAGGATGAGAGCGCGAAGGACGGATGAGAGGAAGGGCGGATGAGAGGAAGGGCGGATGAGAGGGAAGGAGGATGAGAGGAAGGGGGGATGAGAGGAATGGAAGGGGAGAGGAAGGGAGGATGAGAGAAAGGGAGTATGAGAAGGAGAGAGGATGGGAGAGAAGGGCGGATGAGAGGAAGGGCGGATGAGAGGAAGGGCGGATGTGGGGATGGGAGGATGACAGGAAAGGGAGATGAGTGGAAAGGAGGATGAGAGGAGGGGGGGATGAGAGGAAGGGAGGACGAGAGAAAGGGAGTATGAGAAGGAGAGAGGATGGGAGAGAAGGAGGAAGGGTGGATGAGAGGAAGGGCGGATGCGAGGAAGGAAGCAGGGCAGGAGGATGCGAGGAAGGGTGGACGCGAGGAATGGTGGATGATAGGGATGGCGGATGAGGGGGGGGGGGGGGGCTGAAGTAGGGGAGGGAATACGAGTTGAGGGGAGGACGAGATGAAGGGCGAATGAGAGGGAGAGACGATGAGAAGGAGAGAGGATGAGAGCGTGAAGGGCGGATGAGAGGAAGGGCGGATGAGAGGAAGGGCGGATGAGAGGAAGAGCGGATGAGAGGAGAGGAGGATGAGAGGGAGGTTGTATGAGAGGAAAGGAGGATGAGAGGAACGGGGGATGCGAGGAAGGTTGGATGAGAGAAGGGAGGATGAGATGAAGGGCGGATGAGGGGGAGGCTGGATGAGGGGGAGGGAGGACGAGAAGAAGGGTGGATGAGAGGGAGGGCGGACGAGGGGGAGGGCGGATGAGGTGGAGGGCGGATGAGGGCGCGTGGCGAAAGAAGGGTAGGGAGGACGAGTGGAAATGAGGACGATAGGAGGGGCGGATAAGAGGGAGAGAGGATGTGAGAGAAGGGCGGACGAGAGGAAGGGCGGATGAGAGGAAGGGAGGATGGAGGGAATTGTGAGCGACAGGTAGCGAAATGTGGGCGATGGGGAGGGAAACGAGGGCGACGAGAGCGGAAATGAGGGCTACGGGAAGGGAAATGTGGGCGATGAGAGGGGAAATGAGGGCGCAGGGAAGGGAAATGTGGGCGACGGGGAAGGAAATGAGTGCGACGGGAAGGGAATTTAGTGCGACGTGAGAAGAAGTGAACGAGAATGAATGAACTATGAATGAAGTGAGTACAAATATGAAACCCTAATTGGGTTGTACCCCCTATGGGATACCCCACTATAGCCTACACAAATAAGTAAGCTATAATGTTCTGACACACACCCATAGGCAAAGTGGGGGAGAACAAGGGGTCACAAGACCAGTCAAGCAAAGCAAAGCAAAGCTCAGGGTGGATCACAAAGTCACCACACATTCCGAGCGCAAGGTCAAGGGCCACAAGGCCAGTTCGCATGCAAGATCATATATAGAGATATACAAGAGTCAAGCAAGCAAGAGCAAGAGTATATAAAGGTCAAGGTACAAGCAAGGTCAAGAGGAGAGCAAGTGAGGCAAGACAGGCACAAGACCCAGCTGCGTGCAGCAACGCTGATGATCACAAGGCGCAAGTGCCTTGGTGAAGACATTAGCAGTGTTGGCCTCAGAGGCCACGTACGCAAGTCGCAACTGTCCACGCTGCTGTAGCTCACGAGCAAGAAAGTAGCGGAGAGCAATGTGCTTTGTCCTGTGCTCCAGTCGCTGCTCTCGACACAAGGCCAGCATGGCCTTGTTGTCTACGTACAGGACTGGAGGAGAACAAGGCGGCTCTCCAAGGTCGGTTCGCAGGTAGGTGAGCCAGCGAAGCTCCTGAGCAGCCATAGCCCCGGCGTAGATCTCAGCCTCACAACTGGAGCCGAGAACAGAAGACGAGCGAGTAGCCCGCCACGAGACAGAGCCGGAACCAAGGCCGAAGGTGTAACCCTGTGACGACCGCTGCGTAGCCTGGTCGTCAGCCCAAGAAGCGTCCGCGTGCCCAGTGAGGACCACTGGACTGCGCCCTCCAAGCACTAGCCCCATGCCCGACGTACTGCACAAGTAGCGCAACACCCTCTTCGCTGCAGCCATGTGCTCTGGTCGGTGTCTCCCAGGAGCAACATAGCGCGCGAGAATGCTGAGAGGGTATGCAAGGTCAGGTCGTGTGCAGGTCATCAGGTACATGAGGCAGCCAACAAGCTCTGCATACGGGCCACTCGACTCTACGGACTCATCCGAAGGCAGAGCTGAGAGCGAGTGGCGAGTAGGCAAAGGAGTGGCCTGAGGCGAGGAGTACGTGAAGTCGAAGCGCTGAAGGACCTGCTGCACCATGTGTGACTGAGTCAGGGTAATGGTGCGGCGTGCTCTGTCCCGGGTGATCTGCAAGCCAAGGTAGCTGCGCAGTTCACCCAGGTCAGTGCACGTGTGTCTCTTCTGCAGCTCGGACTTCACGTAGGCGAGTCCAGCAGTGTCCGCTGTGGCAAAGACCAAGTCGTCGACGTACACGAGGATGTAGAACGGCGGCAGAGAGGTGTCGGTGCGCAGAAACAGCGACGGGTCGGCAGTAGAAGGAGCAAACCCAAGTGCCGCAAGTGTAGTCCTCAGTGTGTCGTGCCACTCACGTGGCGCCTGGCGGAGACCGTAGACTGGACGCCGGAGACTCGACTGGGTACCGGGAGGGAAATACCCAGTGAAGCCAGGTGGGCGACGCAGCCAGATCTCCTCGTGCAGGCTGCCCTGCAAGAAAGCTGTGCTGAAGTCGAGAGAGTGCAACTCGTAGTCGCGGTGAGCAGCAACGTGCAGCAGTACCCGAAGAGTGGTCATCTTCGGGGTGGGGGAGAAGGTCTGAAAGTAGTCAACTCCCTGTCGCTGACTGAATCCACGAGCCACGTAACGAGCCTTGAAGACAGACGGAGAACCCGGCGGCCGCTTCACCCTGAAGATCCACATGCCACTGACGATGTTCGCCCCAGGAGGGGGAACAGCGTCAACGTAGGTGCCTGTGGACTTCCATGAAGCCATCTCTGCATCCATAGCTGCCTGCCACTGAGAGGAGTAGGGACCCTCTATCGCCTCCGCGTAAGAGCGCGGAGTCGGGATGTCTAGTGCATCCGGGTCTCCCTCAGGGGCGAGCAGTACAGACGCGAGATGAGGTGAAGCGGCGGCCAGACACTGGAACTCCTCCTGCCTGTCCTCAAGGACGTCCGTGCCTAGGGCACACTCACCCCCGACGGACGGAGGAGAGGCAGACTCAGAGTCAACGACAAGACTAGCAGCGTAGTCTAGACGACAGCGCGCAGCAAAGTCGACAAGCTCAGTGACAAGGGCAGACGCAGCAGAAGACTCGAAGGAAGGGTCAGTGACAGCACTAGCAAGGAGACGCGTGACAGTGGGACTGGCAGCACGAAGAGAGTCCGACTCCGGGTCGGCAAGAGCAGGAAGAGAGGAAGCAGAAGGAGAAAGCAAAGGGGCACGCAGAGGAGCAGTAGACGGACGCAGAGACATCCGGTGCGTGCCAGGGACAGGAGGAGGACGCTGACGTGAACCGCGACCACTAGTGCGTGCAGTGCGAACAGGCGACGCAGGACGAGACGCAGGCTCACGACGCTCAGTAAGACCTCCAGTCGGACCAGCGTAGGGAGAAGGAGCAGGCAAAGGGGAGGCAGGCTGTAGCTGTAATTGTGACGGGACTGGCTTTGGACCCTCTAAGGGAGGAGGAGGAGGACCAGGAGAAGGTGTCAGACCAAGAACCTGCTGGAGGAGCGGAACGAAGTACGGTCGGGGCCGCGTGGCGACGCTAAAAACAGCAGGGACAGCACCAGTACCCCCAGCAGGAGTACCCGCTCCAGCAGCACCTGCAGCAGCACCTCCAGCACCCCCAGCAGCACCAGGAGCACTGCCAGTCGAACCGCCAGCAGTAGTCTCAGCGCCAACACCCTCAGCAGTACCAGCTCCAGGAGAACCCGCAGACCCAGCAGCTCCAGCACCCACAGCACGAGCACCTCCGGGACGCGCGGCAGCAGCACCCTCTGCAGCCGAAGAACCTCCAGCACCAGCAGCACGCCTCCAGCGCCGGGCAAACCACTCACGCAGCTCCTGTGGGGAGATTGGCTCTCGGCGAGACGAAGCACCTCCAGGCGGAGAACCTCCAGGCTCAGCACCCTCAGGCAAAACACCTCCAGGCGGAGCACCCCCAGTCTCAGCACCCCCAGGCTCAGTACCCCCAGGCTCAGCACCCCCAGGCTTAGTACCCCCAGGCTCAGCACCCCCAGGCTCAGCACCCCCAGGCTCAGCACCCCCAGACTCCGCACCCCCAGGCTCAGCACCCCCAGGCTCAGCTCCCGCAGCAGGACCAGAGTCACCAGTGACCTCGACAGGCTCGACCGCGTCTACCTGGGACACACCTGAAGGGGCAGGACCCTGAGGGGGGAGGGGGTCTACTGGGGGGGGACCTGGTACCAAGAAGAGCGGGGGCGGGGGAAGGGAAGGAGTGCGGTAGGGGAAGAGGCGGTAGTAGGGTACCGACTCATCGAACGTGACGTCCTGGGAGGACAGAACACGTCGAGAGGTGGGGTGGTAGAACTGCCACCCAGGGGCGTAGGGGGGGAACCCCAGGAAGACGCAGGGAGAAGCGCGAGGGGACAGCTTGTCCGCAGACAAGTCGCGGACAAACGCCCGAGATCCCCAGACCCGGAACGCCGACGCATCGCCAACCTTCCCCGTCCACAGCAGGGCTGGGGAGGTCTCCGGCCTGGAGACCTTGGGGTGGAGGTTGATCTGATGCGCCGCGTACTTGACCGCAAACGGCCACAGAAAATGGGGGGAAGCCGCATGCATCATAGACGTACGAGCGACGTCCATGACCATGCCAATGCGGCGCTCTGCAATCCCATTTTGCTGCGGTGAGTCCGGAAGCGTGAAGGTCTGGCGGATGCCTCGCGCACGACAGAAGGCACGCAGAAGGCCAGAGGAGAACTCTCCGCCTCTGTCCGAGTGCAGACGCAACACAGGAAAGTCCGAGCCAAAGCTCTGCCTGAGCTGGAGACGAGCTGCGCGGATCCAGTCGATCAGCACCTCAGTGACATCACCCTTGCTGCGCAAGGGGAAGACTGTGGTGTAACGCGAGTAGTCGTCAACCACCAACAGGAAGTAGCGCTCGTGACCGAGTCCACGGACGCGGGCAAGGCCCCACACGTCCTTGTGAAGTGTCTGCAACGGAGCCTCTGTCGGAGGAAACTGGGAGGAGTGAGGGGCAGCACGCTGGCGCCCCTCGACACAGGGGACACAGGCAGGGCCAGGGCCCTGAGGAAGGGGAGGGAGGGACCGGGGGAGACCGGACACAAGAAGACGGGAGGCCATGCCTCTGAGCCGAAGCAGAGAGGGGTGGCCAAGGCGGTGGTGCGAGAGGAGAGTCTCGTGAGACAGACGGTGACACGAACAGGGGGCAGACTCAGGACCAGACCTGGACGCTGCAGCAAACACCTGACCAGACGAAGGGACTCTACCAGACTCAGCACCGGGAGGAGAAGCAGTGGTCAGTGTGTACAGGCTCGACCCTGGCTGACGTCTAAACGTAGCCAGGTGCCGGCCTGTGCTCGCCTCTGTGCAGTGTGTCACCCGCTGACGAGCAGGAGTGAACTGGTGGACCCCCACATCCTGTAGGTCAGCACCACTCACCAGGTTCGTAGAGAACGAGGGGAGGTAAAGACTTGTCAGGGTGCCAGAGGGAGCCGCCGGACACGGGAGGACTGTGGAGAAACGAGACAGGACAGGACCCCCAGAGGGGTCAGCCAGGGACACCGCAACAGGCCGACTAAGCGGCGTGAGAGTGGTGCGGTCCCGAAAGAAGGAGCGAGACGCCCCAGAGTCAAGGGTGAAGGTGTGGGAGGCAGAAGCCGACACAGTACCTGAGAGGGCAGACTCACTAGCACCTGAGAGCACAGACGCACTGGCACCTAGAGCAGCAGCCTCACTGGCACCTGACACAGCAGTACCAATGCCCGGGTCGGGCGGAAAGCACCGGTAACAGTCACCATCATCACTAACACTCACAGCATACATGGCAGCAAGGATAGCATCAAAGTCAAGATCAAACACAGCTACACCAGCCCTAGACAGCTCTCCCCAGCGGGGGATCTCAGAGGCCTCCGGAAACTGCTGGCGCCAAGCGTCGGTCAGGCGGGCAAAGCAGCGGCGAGCGGTGTGGGTGCCCCCACACTGCTTACTCGCGCGGTCGCCGGTGCGAAGGACGTAGGTGCAGGGACCGAACGCCCCACCACGCTGACGCTGCGAGTACCACTCACGGAGCTGCTGAGG